GAATGCATGAGACCAACGGCAATACATGTAACAGACTTAGTAGTGTAAAAAGAAAAGCCATTGGAATCAGCTCTTCTGACTAAGCAACTTCTCCAAAAGTATGCGCGAAGTGCAAGGGACAGCAGTAACAAAACCCCTGAATTAATGTCCAAGCCCTTCAAGCAGAAGGAACTGCAACTGTGCTTCTGGGTAGCTGCTGACTGGAGATAGAGTCTCTTGATTCCCATATTTTTGGGCTAAGTGTGGATAAGCACCATGCTTTGCATTCTTGGCAGGAACTAAAGCTTGTATCTCCCTTCTAGCCTGGGAGTTAGCAAACTTTTTCATCAAACCACATTTCAGCAGAGACTAGTTCCTGGATCTCTTCCCTTCCTGTACAAAATCACATAACATTGATGTGGTAACTGCAGATGACTATATGGGCAAGTAACATCAGGCAATTATTTTTATATATTTTGAATTATCTTTGAATGCAATTGTGCAATTGGGGAGGGCTGCAGGGAAGGAAGGAGAGGCAGCATGACATGGCTAAATCTCTACAGATGACAGCTGGACAGCCTCACCTCTTGCTATGTCATAGAACAAGCCTCAGGAAGCTGGTCTTTGCCTTACAAAGACTGGTCATATGAATTTGAAGCTATCCTTTTAAAGATCATTTACATAACCTCCAGATTGTCATACACATACCACAGAGAAGAAGTCTAACCCGTTCCATTCCAGTAATAAAATGTAAGAAGCTACACTGCAGCAATGCAGAAGGACAGCAGGACTCATTACACAGTCTAGTCGAGGACAAAGCTGTATCCTCAGTTCTGCAATTAGTGCCACATATGAATTTATAGAGTACGCTCTTAGCTACAATGCTTCGCTTGAAAAGCTCTTTAAAAAAAAAGTTTCATCAGCTTTAAAAAAACTCTAAGCATACGAGAATATGAACAGAGACAGAAATCTCTTCCCTAATCTTCAACAAGTCCAGCAAAATAGCCTCCAGACATGAGCACGCAGCCTTCAAGACAGCACAATTTTTCATTTTTCTCCAACTTGGGGGAAATTAGTCTATTTTAACTAGGAAATAACCAGGCACCTATCACCTTGATTCCTGTCTTTATGTATTGCTACCCACCTACTGGTCTCCTGTTTCCCTGGGAAACAGTTTGGAGTCTGTGTTCCCCTAGCTCTGCTCCACACATCCAGCAACTTGAGGAGAGGGAAGCGTAAAGGCTAGAGATGAGTCTTTGGCCTCTCATCTTGAAAAACCTCTCCTAGGGCACTGCATGACTAATATCAGAGCCTGACTTCTACGCTGAAAATAAAGTTACACGTCTATGAAGCAAGTTGCTGCCCAGCTGAGCGCTGCTGGTCTCAAGTGAAGCAGTGCTGAAACTTCACTGGCATGGAGAGAAACAGAACGTTGCTCTGGACATCCTGTGTGGTAAATCATCAAGTAAAAAGAAATCAAGCCAAAAGCTCATCAAAATTAGTTCCTCAATCATGGGTCATTTTTTTTTTTAACTTCTTATCTCTACTTCAGCTTTCCATCTGAAAAGTGGAGATGATACAGCCTCACTTCAGAGGCATATTATGAAAATTAATCCATTGATGTTTCTTAAACACTTTGATTGCCAGAGGAATGCTCACAATTACATTAATAATTCTGTACTCAGAGTAGGATTTGAATAGTAAGCAGTAAATCAGGCACAGAGCCTTGTAAGGAACAAGGAGGCAACAAAACACTCAACAGCTGTTTCTTAATTGAGCCCTGCTCATCCTATGTGCACAACAGAGCAAGGGTTTAAGAACAAAGTAAGAGAAAGCACAAAAATAAGAATGTGACCACACCCATGGTGGCCACAAGTACTGCACCTCAAACTAAAACTTGATGGGCCCTTTAAAAAATATAGAAATATCAGATAAATGGTGGACTCTACAGCCCTAACATGTTTCTACAGCAAGTTTTTTTAAGATCAATGCCCAGCACAGGTGAGTATGTCATATATTATTTAAACTTACCATTTTGTGTACATACAGAAGCATGTAAGAAATCCAAACAATCTTTCAACTCAGAGTATATAAATACACTTATCATTTGAAAGGCTGTGTATAACCCACTAAAAAAAGCACTGAAAATGATGGCTTTGCCTTGTAAAGCTGACAGATTCTTTCGTGGAAGGCTTGCTATAACACTGAATATGCTAACTTGAGATAAACAGACTGCAGAGGCAAACATAATTACCCCTTCTTCTGAAATTACCCGTTTTGCTGTTTCAATCAGAGAAGCCGCTTCAGTCTTGCCCACTTGCTGGACCATTTTGTAAAACAAGCCATCTTGTTCTTGCAGCAAAATGTAAGGCTCACCATACTCTTTCAGTCTTCCTGCATCTAAAACCTGTTAAATCAGCAGAAACCAATGTATTAACATAGGAAATTCAAAACTAAACATTAAGAGACTACAAGCAAGGGGCGAACGTATGCACTTTAAGTGCTAAGATAAATTTTGTATCCTCAAAATGAAATCCATCCTCTTCAAACTAGCATCGCACTTTTTCAGTTTATAGACCTGTCGTATAATTTCAGAGTGCCCTGCAGCCATTCCACCTATAGGAATTCAATGCAAAGTTATGCAGAATATGAAAATACAATGTTTGTGAAGCCAACAAAGCAGATTATAAGATTCATTGTGTAAGAATGAAACAAAGAGGCCTAAAATGGGCTCTGAGGTAAACAGCTGTGGGTAAAAACCACGTAATAACCACCAAGACGGTTAAGGGAGAATAAGTAGGTCTTTGGGATTAGAGGAGGTGAAGATGTAATTAAAGAAAATGAGCGTGTTGCTGAAAAGATAAACAATTTCTTGCATCAGTTTTTGCCAACTACGTATTAGAAAGGTACTTTCCCTGAACCTATTCTTTCTGCAGAAAAAAAAGATGAGATGCCACCAGGGACATAGGTGCCCAAAAGAAAGTAAGAGAGAAGGAACAAACAACAGAGAAATTAAAAAGGCATTAAGTCAGTAAGCCACAGAGGATATATTCAGTCAAAAATATCAGAAAAAATTATGAATAAGCTAATCAAATCCCTAAGAAAGGTATCTGGTGTAACTAAGTATCTGCTACGAGGAACAAAACTTTATCAAGCACCTAGACCAAAAACACATATTAGAAGTAAACAGTGCATTTTATTTCGTGGAAAGCTGAACAGGTAAGAACTGGTGGGAACCACATTGTTCTGGCATATGCGGTAGCTACCTGCATATGTGTTAGTCAACAGAAAAAGGAGTTATCAGAAAAGTGGCAAACCTGCAAATGACACCGAAACGTGCAGGTAAGTCTAGACCAGAGGAGATTCAGATATACCTATCTAACCTAAGAGAATGAGGAACACAATAGCAGGGAAAAGTCAATATTGACAAATGCAATGCACTCAAATACTTAACTGGCTTAGAAATTAATGGTATTGACTCAGGAAGGTGATTTGGGTATCAGTCTACGAGTTCAGTACTTTAGTATGTGTGTAAAGGAGCAGTGAAGAAAAAAAGGGAGAAAGAATTTCTGTGAGAAAACAAAGTAATTCAGAAAATACTTTTGTTCTTATATAACCCAAAAACTGAATACACATCTCATACTACTGAAACAGATATTGCCACAACAGAGGGACTTCAAGGACTCATAATCCAAGCCATAACTGTGGTGTACATACTTATTAAAACAAAAACCAAGAAAAACCCAAAACCCTGGAGCTGCTGATTTCAGAAAAGTAACAGAAGGTGCTATGAGGACAACTTCCAGGATAACAAAAATACTCTGCAAACGTATGTTTCAGAGAAGAGACTCCCATAAGCTTGGAGACAAAATTCCTGCGAGGAAATTTTTGAACGTGCTCTTTGCCTGCACAACTCCTGAAGGCAAAACATCGCAAAGGCCAGGAGCTGGGCACATCTCCACAAGGCTGGGACCCCCATTAAGGACCAAACTTGTGGTGCAGGAGGACAGCAGAGCTGGCCCCTCTCCCCGCACGGGTGTAGAAGAAAATTACAGACTGACCACCAAGATCGCTGCCAACTTGTTTGACACCAAGGACCCAGCACCAGGGGAAAGGTCCCCACTCCTCTGCTTCTGCGACAATTAAGTCCATGGTGTTTGAATGGAGAATAATGCAGCCAACGAGAGCAGCAGCATAATTAAATTAAAATCTCTGATTTTAGAAATCGTATGCACAGAAACCTACAAGAAGCTATCTGCTATTTTTAAAAGTTTATACTTTAGAGCACGCAGCTCATACTATGATTTTCCTTTGTAAGCGATTTCCAACATGATTTGGTATGTAGCTGAAGAAAGTGTTCATGGAAAAATCTAAAAATATTAGTAATGTAGCAAAACACTAATATGTAGCCATTTAATATACAATAGATGTAGTATTTCACCTGCAAATGTATACTTGTGCACCTGGTGGTTTTTTCAGTGTACTTAGTCCTATCCTATTCAATCTGAATACTTAAAGATTATAAGTATAATTTTAATTGTAATCTTTTATATACTGTAGTTTGTACTGTAGTACATCACAGTTAAGGAAAGCTTCCTTAAAGATGCAATACATTAATTTATCATATACAGGTCAAAATAATGATTAAATCGGGGTGCTGCAGCATAGGACAACTCTGGTGCCTTGAGTAAGTACTTTTTTTTTTTTTTAGAATAGCACTAGATTATGCAACCACTCCTTAAGAAATAAAAACAAACTCCATCTTCTTTAAATGTGTCTCTCATAAGTAAAGAACTACAATAGAAAAATAGTGGGTTTAAAAAAACCTGTATTACTGAGGTATTTGAATTTTAACATTAATTTTGAAAATATCCGAAACAACCAGAAACACAATCTTTCTCCTCCAAAGAAACCGGCAAGGAAAAAGGAAAAATTTATTCTTCCTTGACAAGTTTTAAACAGCCAGATCCAGAAGATGAACGGATAGAGTGAGCGATTTGTGTCTGGAAAGATTCCATTCACATTTTAAACAAATCATTAATCTATTCATGCCCTTTCTTGGGGAATAAAAACAAACGTGTTATGAAAATAAAACAAACATAAGGAAAACAAGCCGTGCTACTTTTAAAAAAAATCTGAAATGAAAAATAAATGAAACTGAACAGACAATATCATTTTCACATGTCAGGAAAACACAGGAAAAACTATTCACCAAGAAATCCCACTGTTTCTACTAACTGCTGTTATCTATGAGACAATGGAGAAAAAGTAAGCTGATTTACTTGGTAGTTATACATTTATATACGTATACATTTATTAAAAAGCGCTTAGACAAAGAGCTAGGTACTCTTCTTTGAAGAAATACGTGCTGATAAAATTTAAATAAATAAATAGGTACTTTGGCTAAGGCTTTGCATACTCTTACTCACTGACTCCAAGCCAAATTAAAATCATTAGGACTTCAAAAAGCCAGCTAATCATTCAGGAAAGGTGGAATCTGGTGTTTACCAGCCACATTATTTTCTGATAAACTTGCATGCAACGCTTATCACTGCACAATATGACTGAATCGAACTCAGATGCGTTCCAAGGCTGCTGTACCAGTGGAACTTGATGCAGAAAAGCCAGAGAAGCCTGAAGCTGGTGAAATCAGATCAGGAGGGTGATTATGGAGGACGCATGCAGGAGCACGGGACTCTGAATCAGACTGGGATTTCATTATACACCTTAAGGTACACACTGGAGGGGGGGATTCTGGACAAATCATTCAACTTCCCAGCTCCTCACTCAGACTCTTTGGAATATACATCAAATAAAAACTCATCATCATTCTGTGGGAGTTAGCTCCCTGTGAAATACTTAAAACAGCCCAGAGTAAAATAAAAATGAACACAAAAAAGCTATATAAACCCAAAGCAGTCATATGTAAACGAGGGCCAGATTCTCCACTGCCTTGTAACTGGTGGTTTCTCTTACCTCACCTGCACCGTTCTTGGCTTTGTAGTCACATTCTTATGACTTCAACAGGACTTTTTCAAGTGGAAGAGTAACTCCAACAGTACAAAACTTACAAAAATGGCTGCTGGTGATCATGTGAAAGAAAGCACGCAGAGGAATTCTTATTCAATGGAATTTGTTCACACCCTTGTGAAAGGCGAAACTGCTCTTTACTTACAGCTATCCAAATTATCCTTACTCAGGAAGCACTACCCAGATGTCTTCAGTTCAAATAAAGCTCAAATGCTATGTTCTTCTTAAGTAAAATCCCCTCATGCCACCTAATTCCTCTACATCTAATGTTTCACCCTGGTTAAATAGTCTGGGGCAGTCACTACTCATCCCAGTTGTGATTTATTTTTTCAGAATGATAAGCACTGTAGAAGGCGACACAGTTTTGAACAACACTTTGACACAGAGGCACAGAATAACATAGAGCGAGATTAAAAATATGTCAGGAAACAACAGAGAAACAGAAGCATTTAATTTTGACTGACCCGCAAAGGCAAACATGAAAACAGAGTTAGCAGCCATTTAAATGTATTCATGTTAACTCTAGCTAGCACATAAAGACTATTTGCCTACGAATCAAAAATGTTGCTGAATTAAATTTGTATAAGATTTGGCAGTTACAAAACAGTTGTCCATTTTGCCTCATCTGTACCCTACTACAGTATCTACCTCCACTTTGCCTACGATCCCGCGAAAAAAAAAAAACCCAAATGTTGCAGTATTTCCATTCCGTAGCCTCACAGTTTAATGCATCAACCAGGTCAAAAAAGCACAGGAGGGAAGACAGAAATGAAAAGATGAAATGGTGAAAGAGAAGTCAGAGAACCATTTCACAAAGAAAAGAGAGAAACGAAACGACTGACGAGGATACTACATCGAGATAGTTCAGCTTCCAGGAGAGACCCAGGCAGCAGAAGTGAATTTAAAATCTTCTTTGTGGATTAATACAAGTAAAAGAAGCATCACTGGCCACAGAAAGAGAAAGAACATGGGCTCTTAAAATTGCTGTAACAAATACCATGTACTTATGGCTATCCATAGACACAAAAAAGAAAGTTCTAAATCCTGCATTTTCTAACTTTCAGCAACAAAAGCAGACAAACCAAGAGAACAATAGTTATAAAACACTCTGAGAAAAAAACAGTCAAAGGTTGGATGTGTTCAGCAATAGAAGAGGGGGGCATGGGAATTTATTTCAATTATTATTGAGGAATGACTAGTATTCTTATTCACGTTCATCTTCACCATAAAGCCAGAGGGAAAATGGGACATTTAAGAGTTGATCATAAATGTTTTTATTTCCTATTCAAAAGGAAAATAATTCAAGCAAATTATCTCCTAGGGAATACATCTGATTTAATTTAGTCTTGGAGCAGACATCACCAAACAAAAAAATTA